TTCACGGGCTGCATCTCTTGTGCAGAGGATCCTACATATGATTATCAAATGCCAGATTCGGTTGCCCTGCACTCCATGAATCCTCCATAATTTGTGTGTTCTGCACTGGTCTGCAATAGCGAGTGCATGTGTGATAACAGGGGACAAAAAAAACAAAAACGTCCGGGACCCAAGGGAGGAAGGGTGGGTGGGAACATTCCAGGCTAAAACGTGGAACACAGGACCATGATGGCAGATGAGAGAGAGAGAGAGAGAGAGAGAGAGTTGCGCAGTGGAAGAGCAACAGTGCACAACAGAAAATGGTGAATAAATAATAAGTTTTTACACTCTTTTGCTAAGCTCAGTCCTGAAAAGCAACATTTTTCACTCACATAGCAACCGGTTTGTTCATGGGGTAGTGGTCTACCAGAGAATGTACTCACGAAGCGAAGGATAGTCAGGCGGAAGCAATGTGTGTGGATACAGAAAGAAAGTCGTGCTGTGAGTCCGCGATTTACTTATCCTTGGAGGACACGGGCCTCCAACCGCCGTGCTGTTGTAGCAGTCTGTCCACAATGCCCGAGTTAGCTGCGGCTATCGCAACACCTGATCGGAGGCTGAGGAGACGTATGATGTCGGGTCAGGCTGGGTGCGGCCCACAGCCAACTTGAGGATTTTCGTGGCTCCGCTGTAGCTCATGGTGCCGCGAACGCCTGGCCCAGAGCGGGCGGAGGTTGCTTTTCCCAGTACATGTTGGCCAGGTGAATGTCCTCCTTGATGGAGAAATCTCTGTTATGCGGACCGGACATGACATAGAGCCGGTGAATTGGCGAGCAACCAGAATCACGTCCCCTACTTCAGTTAATCGTTCTTGCGGCTTGGCAGGTGCACGGACATATGGGTCAGGTAGAGTCCAGCGAGGACACCACGAGACGATGCAAGTCGTCCCAGGGCAGTAGGGCAAAGAACCCAAGACAAATCATGGTGGTACATTGCAGATCCCCAGTGACGCATCTGGTTGGGCCAGGGTGGACATCAGCTGGCGGAACAAGGACTGTGAGATCGGAGTGCGGCGGGAGACGGGACGAGAACAGATATGGTGAGCGGCGACTTGCAGTTGCAAGATATCTGGCTCCGCGATCGGATGTGGTTGACCAGCCTTATGGTGCAACCAACGAAAAGCCGCTCAGCCTTGTGCAACAGAGGCAAACGTAGCGCCTTGTTGGATCAAACTCGTTAGGTATAACACCAGGTGTACCTTGAGAGCTGGGAAAAGGTGTGAATCCGTCCCCAGAAGCCCATATAGGCCAGGGACCGAATGCTTGCAGATATGCCCTGCCTGTAGATTGTGCCACGTCAGTGAGCAGGATGAACGGTAGCACATCGACCAGGTGCTGGACGAGTGGATTCTGTATGGACGCTAGTTCCGTCCAGAAGGGGGAGGACGCTGAACAAGGCATATACAAAACGCACACACACACACACACAGACAGGAAAATGACACACAGGGGATCAGGTATGTAGAGACTGTGTGTTGCTCCTGTGAGTTTTGTCGTTGTTCTGTTCATGTTTCGTAGGTTTCCAGACTCCCCCAATCAGTGCGCTTTCGAGGTGTCTAACCCTCCTCTGCCTCTAACACCATCGGGCTTCTCCCTCCCTCATCATCACTGCCCCTTGGGCTTCTCCCTCCCTCATCATCCCTGCCCATCGGGCTTCTCCCTCCCTCATCATCATTGCCCATCGGGCTTCTCCCTCCCTCATCATCCCTGCCCCTCGGGCATCTCACTAATTGGAAAGGTTAAGTTCATTGAATTGGCAATTCACACGGAAAAACACCCTATACTAAAAAACGCAAGGAACAGAACAGCATAGGCAGCAAGCGCAAGAAAAAAAACACCAAGAGGCTACAGAAAAGGCAGCCCGCAGAGGACAGACTACACAGGGAGGGGGGGGGGGTGGGGGAGGACAAGGTAACCAAAAAACAAACCTGAGGCCGTACAGTAAGACCTCTAACGAGCACAGTTTCCGAGAGAACAAAAACTGCATGAAAACGGAAAGGCGGTGGTTGCGGCCCAAAAAGACAGACTGGTTGTGGTGTGTGCCTAAATGAGCCAAACCCGGGCTGGAAGGCTTCTCGGATAACGGTAAATGGTGTGACAACACATAAAAATAGCCATAATGAATAATACGTAAAACAAAAACTGAGGCACCAATATTTTACCAAAATGCAATAGGGTGTCACAGCCCATTGACAGTATTGTCACAAGCACATAAAATTATCTCGTCAGACTCCAGCCAGTCCGGGAACTCATGCTCCGTCCATCCGTGGACGAGCTCAAGCAGTGGGTTGTGGTTGCTGAGTCCAGTGTGGTTGGCGACTACTGCCTCAGCCGACCTGGGAGCAATGCCTACTGACGTGACCCAACTCCTGGCAGTTCCAGCAATGCGGGCCGCTGCCAGGGGTTCAGCCACCGTAGGCAAACAGTCCGTGGCCTGATGGTCTCCTCTCGAATTGGGCGTTGTTGCCAATGTTGGATGCACGGATATTCCTGCCTGGGCTGCCTCGCCGAGTCTTTTGTCGTCCGCAAGGCTGTCACCCAGGGTGCCCTCCTCGTAGACTCTCACTGTTTCCCAGTCAAAGGAAACGGCTATTTTGAGTTGTTTCTGCCTTCTACAGATTTCAGTCTCACCCTGCCTCAAGAGCACCTTGGCCTCAGGTGTGGAGTCCGATAGCACCGATATGGCGGCATCAACCTTTTGCAACACCATCTTGTTGGTGACGAACTGAGCCTATAGCCCTGCCGACTCGAGCTTTTTCTGGGCTTCGCTTTGATGACTTGTCAGAGACTGCGCTGCTTTTAGTTTGGCCACCTAAGCTCGGTCCGCCGTGGCCTCCTCCTGCACCCCTTTTATTTGTGATGAAATATTTGTAAATGGGGAGGCGAACCACGATGGCATCTCCTCTTTTGCTGAGCTCGGTGTTGGTGGGTCAGGTGAGGCAGCGGAGGTGGCAGCTGGGTGTAATCTTGCAGTCCTGGCTAGCTCAGGAGGAACAAGATGAGCCTCGGTTCCATGGTTGTGAGTGGACATTGGCATGTTGAAATATTTGGACCTAAAAAAACTCCAAGCTAACACGAGGAACAGAAGACGACGATGGCAGGTGAGAGAGAGAGAGAGAGTTGCACAGTGGAAGAGCACCAGTGCACGACAGAAAGAAGTGATTGAAAAAATACGTTTTACACTCTTTCGCTGAGCTCAGCCATGAAAAAAACACATTCAGGAGCACTAGATTTAGCACGAGCAGAAAGGATCACTGCGGATACAGACTTTCAGTGGTGCTCCTTTCTCTGATGTGATAAAGCACCTGCGCGTCATGGATAACCGCATAAGTTAGTGTCACCCGTGGGCTGGTGAGAAAAGTGACGCCGAGAGGCATTGCCCTTTTGCAGCCCACTCTCAGCAACATCTCGTGGTATACAGTTTTGAGGAACAACGATGCAACCATGATAGTGAGAACTTCAGTGCTTCCTGGGCAAAAGTGAGTTGGTTGTATTGCTCTAAACAAGGTTGTACATTGTGTGTGTGTGTGTGTGTATGTGTATGTTTGCATCTGTGTGTGTGTGTGTGTGTGTGTGGGTTTGTGATTGCATGAGTGAGTGTGTGTGTGTGTGTTTATGTTTGTGTGTGTGTGTGTGTTTGTGTGTGTGTGTGTGTGTGTTTGTGTGTGTGTGTGTGTTTGTGTGTGTTTGTGATTGCATGAGTGAGTGTGTGTGTGTGTTGTGTGTGTGTGTGTGTGTGTGTGTGTGTGTGTGAGTGAGTGTTCTTCCTCCGTTAAGCAAAACTTTGTTCCGTTTTGTGTTCTTGTAATTGTCTTTCTGTCGGCATTAGACAAACATGTCAGTGATCTCTCCCCTACAAAGACTATCCGCAGTGTTGTCCTTTGTTCTGACAGGCTTTTGAACCTCCGAAAGCGGGGAGTCCTTGAAATAATCGGCGAAGCATAACAATTTCTTGACAGGATGTCACCAGAATACAACCCAGGCGCATAACACTGAGGTGCGAAAATAAGAAACAGTTTGAAAGACCGCGGTTTAATAGCCAATTGAGCCATCTTTCCAACATTCCTTTTGAGTCTCTATCCCCTTCCCCGGAGCGACTCACGTGACCAGTTTTGGCACTGAGCAAGTACAAGTACAAGAGCATGTGCGTGTGCGTGTGTGCGTGCTTGCGTGTGTGTATGTGTGAGTTGCGTACATACTTGGGTGTGTACGCGCGTATTTGAGTAGCCTGCGTGCGTTTCTTTGTGTGTGTGTGTGTGTGTGTGTTTCTTGGTGTGTGTGTGTATGTGTGTGTTTTTCTTTGTGTGTGTGGGTTTGGGTGTGTGTGTGTTGTCGCGCGCGTGCGTGCGTGCGTGTGTGTGTGTGAGCAAAAAGCGGAAAATGAAAAATATAAAAATTAAAAATAGAGATTCACTGGCCAGAAAAAGCCACTTCAATCAGCTGCGTGGTGGATACCAGGCTAGAATTACTTGCGGTCAAATCATCAGCCTAACAATCTGTTGAATGGTGTGATCCTAGCACAAGTTGCTTCTGCGATGGGCATGTCTGAGTTCTGAGTTCTGAGTGTGTAAGTGGGTGTGTGTGTAGCATTATGGTGCTATTGCAGATTAATGGGTGCACGCAGCTTTGTGCTACCGCTCAATCTATGCTGCTATGTTTAATAGTGCTGTTACTGCATGCCCATGCTTTGCTGCTGGCTATGGTTTCTGTGCGGCTTGGCACTCTGCATGATATTGAATGCATCTCTCTAGGTGACATTGAACGTGTCTCTCTACGTGGCGTTCATGCGTGTCGCTCGGCTCCGATGTGGGCAGCGTGTGGCGGCGTCATGATGACGTTTGCTTGTAGCGCTCAACGTGGGTGGCATGCTTCGTTGCATGTCTTGCTAGAGTTTGCTCTGTTATATATTTCGATCCGTTCTGTGCGATGATCATTCTTGCTTGCTCGTAGTCTTTCACCCTCCCACCTCCCATTTCTCATCACTAATATGCTTTGATAAAGTGAATAAACGGGGTGTTGGCCACGCTCATTTACGGCTACTCAGGGCCTCGGTCGCCGTCCCTCGGACGCAGACTCTTGTAGATTCTTGGCTCCGCCAACATTCTGCTCCGGCAGTGTCTATCCGGCCGACCCTGAATCCTCTCTCGTAGATACTTGGCTCCGCCAACATTCTGCTCCGACAGTGTCTACGTTTTTCTTTCCGTAGCCTCTCACTTTGTGGTCGGCACTCCCCCGTACCGCAAGTTGCTGTGTGTTGTAGTGAATATGCGTGTGCGTGTGCGTGCGTGTGCGTGTGTGTATGTGCGAGCATGCAAGTGTCTGTGTGTTTGTGTGTTGTCTGTTTCGGTTTGTGTGTTTGTGTGTACGTGTGTTTGAGCATGATAGCATGTGTGTATTTTTATCTGTGTGTTTTGTTTGTTTGCGTGTTTTGTGTGTGTATGTGTGTATATGTGTGCGTATGTATCTGTATGCGTGTGTGTGTGTGTGTGAGAGCATGTCACCGTGTGCGTGTGTGCATGCATGTACGTACGTATCTGTGTGCTTGTGTGTGCGTGCGTGCGCATTTGTGCTTGAATACTCAGGCTCTTCTGATGCTGGCAGCATGCTTCTGTGGCAGCATTCATTGTGTCCAGTTTTTACTCTGGTGTGATCCGTCGCTCTTGAATGGCAAAGTTATGTTCAGTCCCTTTAGTGAGACACGAAGGGTGAGTACTGGCCGAAGTGCTCGGCGTGAAACTGTATGTTCTGATCACTGGTTGGTTTATTCTGATAAACTGAGCATGTGCTCATCCAGCGTCACTTCGCTGTCAAAGATGTTCCTAGAAAATTGAATGTTCCTCTCTTTGTAAATGTGGTGAACATTGCGCCTCAAAGCCATAATAGAGTAAAACCTGTAACTAAAGACGACCGTGACTAACAGCCAGCCTGCTGCTACACACCACTTCGCCAGGCACGGTCGGTCTCATATACAAAAATGCACTGTGACAAGCGACTACCTGCTGAACGCATCCAGCGACCGCCTTTTCTTGTCCCAAAGTCGATTTTGACCAGTAACTAGCGACAGCAGTGCAGGAAATGAAAGGTTGTTCGAAGCTCCTTCTTCGAAATTTTGATGATTTTCTGTCCTGAATGGACTCTTTGGATACTACAGCTGCATGAATGAACGCAATCTCATTTTGACTATGGGCTGCACTGCACCTGTCATAGTTTCAAGTGCTCTCATGAGCAAACATTATAGGAAACGTCTTGGAGAGTAATTGCTCGAACCTGCTCGATGATCGATGCTACTGCTCAAAGGAAAAATGGCATTGTGCAAGTGGTGTGAATTTTCATTAGCTGCATTTTAACATGCATATCAGACATGGAATTATGGTCGTGCGGTTCAAATCTGTAACTTAAGACCACATGCCACTAAAGACCATTTCTTCTGGCACCAAGGGGTGGTCGTTAGTTGAAGGTTTTACTGTACACACGGTTTACTTTAGTTGAGCTACTTTGTCCGGCTTGTTGAAATGTGCGCTTCACTTCAAAACTCAATCATTTGTACAAATGAGCAAGAGAACTACTTCACCAACCACGTCGCCACCATCACGACAAAGTTTCGCCAGCGAGCGGTCCTGCTGATCCACATGACCAAGCATATCACCCCAGCCGTAGCCAGCCGCTTGTACACTGGATATGTTCGACCTGTGGTTGAATACGCCTCATCCCTCTGGCAGTTTCAACTCTCCAGTGCTCAGGCTACTACCCTTGAACGGCTACAGGCAAGAGTGGCACGTGTGATCCTGCGGCCGTATGGCGTGTACCCTCCTCAAACGGAGCCGAAAGCCTCACTTTTTGCGCACCTCCAGTGGCCCAGCCTCGCATCGCGAAGACACATTCAGTGCCTTCTTGAGCTCCACCACCTTATCAATAGCCAGATAACGTCCCTGGAGGACCTAGACTACCCAGTATCAAACAGCGCCAGGCGCCCCCAACATCTACTCCCACCTGCTAGAGCCAGCACACACACGCGTGCCACCTTTCTCTTTGTCACCACTGCCACATGAAACTCCCTCCCGGCTGCCATTCGTTCTGTATCCAGCCCAAAATGTTTTACCGCTCTTGTCCGCACACGCTTTGCTATCATCCGTTATGAGCCCTCTGGTTTCATTCCAAGTAGAGTAGCGTTGTCATAGAGCAGTGTGTTATATAACTACCACCCCGCATCTTTCTATTTCCTATTTTTATTTTTCTCCTCAGCTTCTTCTTCATAAGCTGTTGACGGAGACTCCCTCGACTTAGGCTAAGGCCTGTGGAAAATCCATAAATACAAATACAAACCAACTAAAAACTCAACCAAGAGATGGTAGATAGATATCTACCGTGTATCGTCTCTTGGGCTGACCTTCTAGTTTTCATCGCTGCTGGTGTCTCTGGGCGCATCTGCAAGCGCGTCACCCTGCAAAACATCGCCAGTTTTTGTCTTCTTCAAGCTACGCTGCAATTCTTGATTTTTTCTATCATTAGATTTTGACGATCGCCTTCGCCTCTCCCTCGTGCAGTGCAACTGTCAGAATAGCTATAGGGGTTTACACCCGACGTTGCCACGAAACCTTCAAATGAGGTGAACAGGTAAACCACCACGCACCAAAAAGATTACTTCTCATCACCTTGTTCCGCTTACTGACAGTCTGTGTCATACAGTCTGACCGTATGCGCTCATCCCTGGTGTATGAATCAATGGGCCACTACCGGTAGTAGTACACTGTCACTGGAGACGAGATGGAGCATTCACATTGGCTTGGTGCAACGATAACGCCTCGCGGCTCCGAAAACTCCACACCATCCACCAGCCGCATCCGCAGAAAACTTCACTGTTTGTTCATTTCAGTTTTCCAGCCAGTTTCTCGTGGGAAAGACGACTCCAGGGGTGGTTGTTTTTTTCGATCAGTTGCTCGGCGATCTTGAGTCGTCGGCCCCCACATCGTGGACGACTGCGGGATACATCAGTGAGCTGGACAACCCGATGATTGTGCTGCTGCACTAGTCTCTGGCTGACGCGTTTGCAGAAAATTCTGCCCAGGAAACAGAGACTGCAGCGACTTTAATCTGTCAGGAGGGAATCAAGAACGATCGCCCTTGAGTTCCTGGTGCTCTGTGACAATTCTCCATCGTATTGGGGGTCTTGATATCATCAACAGGCCTTCTCAGTGTTGCAGGTGAAGTAACAAGAGTCCTCTGACGACAACATTTGAACGCGAAACGTACGAGTCGTCTAGGAGTTTGAGGTGCTGCCTCCTTTGGAGTTGTGAGCCATTCCTTCCTCAATGTCACAAATCAACAACTGAAGGACACTGTAAGGTAGCTGGGAAGTTTATTCCGTCCTGAGATAATTTGGATTTGCTTGGTAGGCTTCGGAAACAAAGCGCACATTTTAGTAAGTCGGACCAAGTACAACATAACCACTGGCCAGTGGGTATACTTTAGTAGAGCTACAACATAACCACTGGCCAGTGGGTATACTTTAGTAGAGGTACAACATAACCACTGGCCAGTGGGTATACTTTAGTAGAGCTACAACATAACCACTGGCCAGTGGGTATACTTTAGTAGAGGTACAACATAACCACTGGCCAGTGGGTATACTTTAGTAGAGGTACAACATATCCACTGGCCAGTGGGTATACTTTAGTAGAGCTACAACATAACCACTGGCCAGTGGGTATACTTTAGTAGAGGTACAACATAACCACTGGCCAGTGGGTATACTTTAGTAGAGGTACAACATATCCACTGGCCAGTGGGTATACTTTAGTAGAGGTACAACATAACCACTGGCCAGTGGGTATACTTTAGTAGAGCTACAACATAACCACTGGCCAGTGGGTATACTTTAGTAGAGCTACAACATAACCACGGGCCAGTGGGTATACTTTAGTAGAGCTACAACATAACCACTGGCCAGTGGGTATACTTTAGTAGAGGTACAACATATCCACTGGCCAGTGGGTATACTTTAGTAGAGGTACAACATAACCACTGGCCAGTGGGTATACTTTAGTAGAGCTACAACATAACCACTGGCCAGTGGGTATACTTTAGTAGAGCTACAACATAACCACGGGCCAGTGGGTATACTTTAGTAGAGGTACAACATAACCACTGGCCAGTGGGTATACTTTAGTAGAGCTACAACATAGCCACTGGCCAGTGGGTATACTTTAGTAGAGGTACAACATAACCACTGGCCAGTGGGTATACCTTAGTAGAGCTACAACATAACCACTGGCCAGTGGGTATACTTTAGTAGAGGTACAACATAACCACTGGCCAGTGGGTATACTTTAGTAGAGGTACAACATAACCACTGGCCAGTGGGTATACTTTAGTAGAGGTGAACGATAAGGGAAAAGGTATTGTAGTTCTCCCAAGGGTACACAACCCCCAAGAGTGTGCTACTGCAGTTTTGTTGTAACACTTTATGAGATGGCAGGATTTCACATCACATGACGAGCTTGCACACAGTATGTTCACACTGTGCATGATAGAAAGAGGGTTGAACGCAACCCTGTTTTGGACTCAACTCTCCTGTGGTCACTTTGCACTGCTTGCCAGCGTAACTTTTGAATCACGTGTGATGTGAAGTTCTGGCGTAGCAGCACTCGCTAAAGGTTGTGTGGGCAGTTGCAAACTCTTGGGGTTATGTACTCTTTGTATCACTAACCTGCGGTTATGAGTTCTGTACATGGGGACCACTGATCCAAGTGTTTTTGTGGATTTCACGTCAAGTTCCAGCCAGTATTTACTATGTCCCTGTCCTCTACCACACACACTAAGATGAGATATGCTCTGTTTTTGGAAACAAGTCATTTGCACTTTGATTACATGTGTATGGTACTATTCTGCAATGGAAAGGAAAAATCTCGAACTTGCATGCTTTGCGGGTGATTGTAAGAATGTGTATGTGTGTGTTTGTTTGTTTGTTTGTTGCTATGGTGACCTAATAGTACTGCCAACTAGCATCACTTCTACATGTCTGCGCGGCCCGTGGACATAAAGCACTGTGTGAGCTGCTGATGAGAAAAGGCATAGCAGTTAATGTCCAAAATGAGGTGAGCTTTGGGGGTGGAATGCATCAATTAAATGCGCTTTGCAACAAACTCTTGTGTAATCAAGTATTTTTCAAAGACACAAAACCAAATAAATTGTCCTCATGTGCTGAGTATTGATGTGCGCATGTGGACATAGTGCACGGCATCATGTATGCCAGGGCCGCAGCTGCCACATATTTGACTGGTCCGGAGGAACATTTTCACCTTAAAATGATATAACTGAATCAAGTTACTACAATGTACCAGTACATGTAGCGCACCTGTACAGGTTATACAATTATATCGTCAGTTGAAATGCTTTTGGCGAAGTCACAGATTCGTGAGTGATCGTGGCACAGCGCATATTGTACATATTCGAAAATCTGCTGATTTGGGCTCGTATACTAGTGTGTCCATTCGAAAATCTCTATGAAATCATTTTGTATAACCACTTGATGTATGCGAATTCTCATACTTTGGAGAAAGATGATTGATACGGCTTTATGTGGATTGAATAAACGTCTTCAGGCTGTGAAGTCCACTGAATGACCTCTCTGATGTGGCGTTCGTGGCTGGAAGAATAAGCAGTAGGTGAAACAAAAAGCAGGCAGGCAATGACTTGTACATCTGGTGCAAAGTGCTTCTTGGTATAGTAATGACAGTGTTGGAGGAAGAAGCTTGCTTGGCTGCTGAGTTGCTTGGTTGCTGTTTGGTCTGGAGCTGACTGGGCTGCTGTTATATCTTCAGGTTGGCTGAGTTGGCAGTGTCCTGCCATTGGATGAAGTCCTGGTCCAGGTCTGGTCTAATCCTTAGCGCTAGGGCTGGGTTGTGCGTTGCGTCTAGCTGGATTACCTACATCGCTACATCGCTGCATCACGTGCTGGATCACGCGCTGGAGTGGAGTGCTCGCGCCTCTGTTCACACTGGTGGTTTGTCTTCACGACGCTATTTTCGCGACTTGCTGCGGCCGTGTCTGCGGTAATCTGGTGCAAGATGAGCCTGGGTGACGTTGTAGACTTAGCCATTCTCACTTTCGAGGAACTGCGAGGTTTAGCTCGGCGGCATAGCATTGATGGCCTGGACAGTATGGCTCGCGCGGAGGTGGTCGGGAAACTTCGCGAGGCTGGTGTGGGTGTGTTACACCCATCAGCTGCTGGAGTCGTTGAACGCTTGGGTGAGATGATGCGGATTGTTGTTAGCATCAGTGACGAGTTGGCAGCGCTGAGAGACGACCAGCGGCGGCAGATCACGGCTGCAGAGGAGAAGGGTATCCCCTTACTAGAGGTTGAAGCGATTGTAAAGCGGGAACTGGCATCTCTCTCGGACAGAGTAGGAGACTTGGAGAGGGCCAGCGGCGGGAAACAGCACAAGCATGCCCGGCCGCAGATGACTGCTCCCCTGGCGAGCTATTCGAAGATTGAAAGAGCACAAAGAGACCTACATGCCACATCCCGAGGTGAAGGATCAGTGCTTGAAGACGTTGCTAGGAATGAACCCAAGGAGTTGTATTCGCAGGCCATATCTAGAGATACTGCCCCAATTGACCTTCCAATGGACATATCGGTTGACCAGGCGCCATTCGAGGATGTCATGTCCAGGAAGGAGCGTCGACGCTTCAAGAGCCGGCTAGCATCAGAACCTCCCGGGACGGAGAAGGCTACAAGTCCTGCGGAACGGCAGACTGACAGTCGCAAAGCGCAGACAAATCCCATCCGCCGCCACGAGTCTTCACGTTACATCCGGGAACGTACGTCCGATAGCAACCCGACACCTTCCTTAGACACCGTCCCCAGAGGCCCGCGGAAAGTTCTCTACCTGGGGCAAATCCCATATGGTTGCCAGGCACAGTCCATCGCTGAATGGTGCAGAGATCGGGACGTGGAGATAGTGCAATGTATTATATACTCTTCTGAATACTTCAGAACGGCCTCCGCGAGAATAACAGTTGACGCTCAGGACGTGAACAAAGTTAGTGAAAAGTCTTTCTGGCCTGAAACAGTTGCATACACTCTCCGTGACTGGCGCTTCAGGTCCGACCAAGCAGAGGCGCAATGAACACCTCGATACTGAATGCGCAGGCTCCAACTTTCTTTCCGGGTAGATTGCGCCATCCGAAAGCACCTTTCAGAGACAGGGGAGGACTGAGTGGTGACGCTAAGCTGAAAGTTCTACTGATAAACATCAGAAGCCTTCGAAACAAGACTAATGACCTAGCACAACTCACCCGCCAGCATTGTCCTGATGTTGTCTGTGTGAACGAGACATGGCTGGATAGTACAATTACTGATGGAGAAATCACGTTGGCAGGTTACAATGTTTTGCGTGCTGATCGAGAGGATCAAGTTGGTGGAGGTGTCTGCTTATATTCCCGAACATCCTTGCCTCTCAAGCCGAGATGCGATATAGCTGCTGCTGGGGTTGAGAGTTGTTGGGGTGAGGTTCCCTGCACTGGTGGGAGTTGCTTGATAGGCACAATCTATCGTCCTCCCTCTGAACCTATTGGCTACTGGGATCGCCTTGATGGTCTTCTACACTCAGCTATCACTCCGGGCAGGAACGTTATACTGTGCGGTGACTTAAATGTGAATGTGGATCCATCAACGGCTCCAGATCATCAGCTCCATTTCCTGTCTGATCTAACGGCAAGCTACAGTCTCCACCAGTGCGTTCATCAGCGGACACGGTTTGCATCTAATTCCACAGCCACCACATTGGATCTGTTCTTCAATACGTTTGACCAGCACAATGTGGCAACGATCCATCCCGTGGCTTTCAGCGACCATGCAGCGGTCATAAGTGAATTCTACCTTGACCCGACAAGGAGTCCCGAGACATCAATGTTGTGCCGGAACTACCGAAGGATAAATCATGAAAGCTTCAAAGCTGACTTGATTCAGCAGAATTTTTGCAGCATCGAAGGCAGCCCAACAGACATGTGGACGGAGTGGAATAATCGCTTCCTGCAGGTGCTTGACACTCATGCCCCTCTTAGATCTTGTAAGCAGCACAAGCGACAATCGGTACCGTGGATGGACAGCCAGCTCTTGCACCTTTTGAGTAAGCGCAACCGGCTTCATAGAAAGTGGCTGTCAGACAGATCTGAGCAAAGGTATGCTACATTCAAAGCGGCGAGAAGGGAGGCCACTACCTGTAACCGGAAGCTGAAAGAAGCGTACTACAGTACAAAATTTCAGCTTGCGACTTGTGATGTAAAACAAACCTGGCGAATCATCAACCAGTTGACGGGGAAACAAAGAAAATCGGCACCGCTTCAGTGCTCAGCTGAGGCAATTCGAAGTGCTTTCGCCAAGATCGTGGAAGATCCCAGCCGCCCAGTTCATCTTCACCTACCCCAAGGGCCACGAACGGCAACTAGTTTTGTGGAATTTGTTCCTGTATCTATTGCAAAAGTCCGGAAGCTTCTAGAGCAACAGAATCCAACGAAGGCAACTGGCAGTGACGGCATCCCTGCGGCCCTTCTTCGAGCTCATGCAGATGTTCTTGCGCCGTCATTGGCCTTACTGTTCAACAAATCCATGAGGGAGGGACATTTCCCAGCTCCTATGAAGGTGGCCAGCATTTCACCTCTATTTAAAGGTGGTGATCCCAGCATAGCAAAGAATCACAGACCCGTGTCTCTAATGTCGATAGTTTCAAAGCTTTTGGAGCGAGTCATCCATGATCAGCTCACTCAGTACTTGTGCCGACATGATCTATTTCCACCAACTCAGTTCGGCTATCGTTCACATCATTCCACATGTGATGCCCTTGTATTAGCCGTTGAGGGCATATGCCAAGCCCAGACAAAAAAGTACTTCACGGGGATTGCTTTCGTAGATATGTCAAAAGCATTTGATAAGGTGAAGCACCAAACCCTTATTCAGGACCTATTCGAGGTCGGAATTGGTGGAACGGTGCTGCAATGGCTTGCAGACTACCTCTCAGATCGGACACAGTATGTTAAAGTCGGCCAGGTACAGAGCTCACCATACACCAGCTTCTCCGGAGTACCACAGGGGTCAGTTCTCGGGCCCCTGTTGTTTGTTCTCTACGTCCGTGACATTGCGAAAGAGCTGTCCCCTTACAACGTTGCGACCCTGCAATTTGCGGACGATATCTCAATTAGATCCAGCAGCATGAGCATGGATGAGGTGTCCCAAAATCTCTCAAGTGCTGTCCAGCACCTCGCCGATTGGCTTAGGAACCGCGGTCTCATCTTGAATGAAACGAAGACACAGATCATGTCGATATCGCCAGTACGATCTCAAACATTTGACTTGCAAGTGCAATGTAATGGACTGCCTCTGCCAACTGTTCGCTCTGCGAAATATTTAGGTCTCCACTTTGATGCGGACATGAGCTGGAACACCATGGTCGACCACGTCGCACGGGGCGTCGCGTCGAAAGTTGGCGTGCTCAGACGATACGCTACGTTCCTGCCCTTTCAATGTCGCATAGCCTATTTTCGTTCTTTCATTTTATCACACTTTATGTATGCCGCTTCTGCTTACTTACCATTTCTCACGGCGTATCAAAGTCGACGGCTTAATGGGCTCTTCAAGCGTGCTGTACGCACAGTCTGTCGGGTACCTCCCGGGACACCCACAAGCAATATTCGTACACGCATGAACATCCAAACATTGACCACATACACCAACATGCACCTTCTGGTTTTTATCTGGCGTTGTCTCCATGACTCCTCTAACATCAGCATGTTGTTCGCTAACTTTTTCAGCCGCAGTAATTCCACTCAAACTCGTGGTGGGCACAGCAATTTACTGATTGTCCCAGCCAGTGTGTGCCGTGCGTAGAGAAGGGTGATCTATGCTAGCACCATGACTGTGCTGCAGGCTAATAAGCAGAGCCAAGCCCAGGAAGGCAAGAAACATGATTCTTATCTTAATTCGTCGCACGGAGCTGCAGCGGGTTGAGCCATGGGGGTCTGGGGTCGAATCACGTTGTTTTATTTTACAAAAATACACCGCTGCCACCAATGTAGTGGGTAGCCGAGTGGTAGGCGC